GGGCCTCCCTCCACCCACAAATGTTGCAGCATCCAGCACTGACATACTGAGAGCCCACAAAGGGCACTCACAGACCAATTAAAATAAAAATTAAATCAAGACTTGGTTTAGTTTCTTTAAGTTAAATTATAAAAAAACTACCCAAATCCTACCCAGAAGCAAAAATTCTCCATCTTTTGCACCACATCCCAAAGAAAGACTTTCAAGACTTGCTGCTACACGAGGACTCTGGTAATAAAACCAGCTCAAGCCAGATGGTGCTAAAAAGCCCAACTGCTCCCAGGTTCCCACAGAAGGCTCCTGTGGAAATAAATGGGTGATTCAGTCACTTGAGACACTTGAGAATAATGGCTCTGACCCAACCCCCAGACACACCACCAGGAAAAATTAAAATCAAGGCTGTGATATGAAACTGTTCCATCTTTAGCAGTGGTTTGGGTTGGAAGGGACATAAAAGCTCATCCTGTCCAACCCCCTGCCATGGGCAGGGACACCTTCCACTAGCCCAGGTTGATCCAACCTGGCCTTGGACACTTCCAGGGATGGGGCAGCCACAGCTTCTCTGGGCAACCTGTGCCAGGGCCTCACCACCCTCACAGGGAAGAATTTCTTCCCAATATCCCATCTAAACCCACGCTCTTTCAGTTTGAAGCCATTCCCTGTGTCCTGTCCCTCCATCCCTTGTCCCCAGTCCCTCTCCAGCTCTCCTGGAGCTCCTTTAGGCCCTGGAAGGGGCTCTCTTTCCCTGGAGCCTTCTCTTCTCCAGGTGAACCCCCCCAGCTCTCCCAGCCTGTCCCAGAGCAGAGGGGCTCCAGCCCTTGGAGCAGCTCCATGGCCTCCTCTGGAATTGCTCCATGTCCTTCCTGTGCTGGTACCCCAGAGTGCTCCAGAAGGGAATGAAACCCTTTGCTTACCTATCAAGGGAAGAAATCCAATCTAACCCTGCCCTCTGTCATTTTTAAGCCACTCCCCTCCATCCTATCACTTTTCCAAAGCCTCTTTCCATGCTCTGGACCCTCAGGTAGGCAGGAGGAGGGGGCAGTGTGTCCTGCTGGGAAGCCCTCAAGTCATCGGAAAAAAAATCAAGCTGTGGAAGTTCCTTATCACTTCCCCCATCCTTCCTCTTCACTTGAAAATCCTGAGGCTTCCCTGCATGGGAGCAGCTGTCAAGAGATTTGCAGCAGCAGGAATTTGTCATCCTCACCCAGTGATCCAATAGTCCCAACAATCGTGGGTATTATTTTACTTAAATCTACTCCTTAATCCCATAATGCCATAAAATACCACTGAATCAGAGCTTAGCAGGATTCCAGAAAGGAAGAGACTTTTAAAGAGATAATGAGAACTCCACTTTTATATTAGAGAGGATTGAAAGGAGAAAAAAGAGGAGGCAGAACAGACCAGATGGGCAGATTACTTCATAGTTTTCCTTAATATGATTTCTTCAACCTGAAGCATCTGGTAATTCCACTATCAGAGATTAGATGCTGGATAAGATGGACAGGCAGACTGATCCAACAAAGCAATTTTTATTTTCCTGCTGCACACAGGAGAGGTTCCCATTAAATCATATATCACAGAATAAAAGAGAGGTACAGAAAATCTGGTAGCAAAGCAGAGAATGTTCCAGTCCCTGGGATCCCATATAAATATGCTTCACTTTCAATATAGAAAACAACACATCTTCCTAAATCCCCCCATCCTCCACAAGCAGAAAATACTGGGAGTGGATCAACAATAAAACTCACAGATCAGCCTTGTCCTTCACAGGTTTTTGCAGAAAATTGAAGAAAAGCTCTCCAGCTCAGTTTTTTTTGAGATGTGTGTAGAAGTCCTGCAGCCTGCAGGCAGCACCTTGGCTACTTCCAATCTGGAAGCCGTAATTGTTTTCCAGAGCAGGCAGGAATCTCATCTTAAAGGCAAAAAACCCAATCAGACAAGTTAGAAATGTGTTGCCTGTGCCTGTCTCATTATGCCACTGTTTTGTAGCAAGTTCTGAAATAAAGTCCCTTGCACCAAAACATCAGTCCTGCCTTATTTTAGCTAAAGGAGGAGCTTTCTTGGCCGTCCAAAATGTAACATGCTCTGTGATTCACTCTCCAAGCACCTTGCAATGCTCACCCAACACAACCTTTGCTGCTCAGCACAAGGTCAGGCCCAGGAACATCAATATTAATAAGCTCCAGACTAAGGTCTGACAGGCCCAGCTCCCTGATGGCACCAGCAGCACGCATTATCCATGTATCCATACTGTCAGCAGCAATTTTTTGGGAATCAGTGCAGTGCAACACCCAATCCTGTTCCAGTGGTGACCAGCAGGGCACGGTTTCAACCTCCCAGCCCAGGGGAGCAGCCTCAGCTTTTAGGAAAGGAAATCTCTTGCCCTGCATTTTACAACCAAACCCAAACTACCAAAAAGGGACACCACAGTTCCTCAGATCAGGGCAAACAAGGCAAATTCCACACCCCTACTCTTGCTGCTGGGGAAGATCTTGCTTCTCCTAAGCACCATCCTGTACCCAGCACCTCTGGGACCATTTTCTCCAGGGAAAATCACCTCCCTCCTTTCCACTGGGCAGAGACAGAATCCCCTCAGCTGGGAGTGGTGCTGCCTCCTCATCCCCAAGCCCTCATCCTGCAAACCACCCTGAGCAGGGACACCTGAACCTGGGGCCGAATTTCCCCTGAACTCTCCTCCCTCTGCCTTCCTTTGGCCACAGGCACAAAGGGGGAGCAGGAGGAGGACTCACAGTGACCCTTGACCACGTTAATCTTTCTTTAAAAAGAGAGAAGATGCAAAGCAAAGGATGTGAGAGCAGCAGCCACTGCCAGGCCCAGGCCCAGTCCATCAACATTCCGGTTCTTTCCTTGAACCAACCAGGCTTCACTATTATATTTAAAACTAACATGCTTTGTAATTCTTATCAGCTGGAAGGTTCTCTACAGTTTTTCCCCCACTAATGCTGCAATTTCAAAGCCATTTAGGCTAATTTCCTTTGACTGGAATCTATTTTAATCAGAGCCCAGGATACTTGACTTAAATGGTTTGTGTTCAACCCTTCATAAAATCAGCCATAAAGCTGCAGGCACGAAATACTGAGAGGAGCCTGGAGCCAGAGGTAGGAAAAGCTGAAACTTTTCAAATCCTCCAGCAAACTCCAGCCTATTTCATACCAGATCGACCGTTCTCTTGCATTACCAAGACAATTGATCCCCAAAATTAAAAAAAAAGCAACAAAGAAAACACACTCCTGAAGTTCTTACATAGATAAAAGTTATGCAGCTGCAGTCAGTGCCACAAATTCTCTCCAGAGGATCAGCCCAGCTCCAAAACGAAGCATTTCTAAGGAATTGCTGTGCCTGCTCTGTCCTCTCCACCACTCTCCCGTGAAGTGATAGATAGTGGCACTGAGGGAAAATACAATGCCAGCCTAAAAATGTCAGAATGGATCCTTTTCTTCCCCCAAAATCTGAAAAAAAACCCCGCATTACTTCTCAAATTAATTCTCAGGAAGTAATGCTGAAGTCAGAGTTCTGGATGAGAAATGCAAATAAGCAGCTCAGCCTCAGGTAACAGCTCGAGGAGGTCCCGCTCCAAGGATTTGCATTGTAGTGGGATTTGCATCTCGTGGAGCCAAAGGTGCAATTTGTAGCTGCAATTCAGTTTGTCCTGAACCACCCCAGCAAAACTGCAGCCTGGGCCTGCTCTCCTTGGAAAACTCAGCCGAGGATTTGAGTTGTCAGTGGTTGACAGCCCTGGAAACTCGGAGCTGCTGCTTGAAATTCCTGCAGCATTTGGGGAAGGGAAGGAACAAAAGCTCTCCCAGCCCGAACAATTTGCTGGAGCCAGGGAACTGCAGGATTTTTAATGCAGATGCCAAGCAACAGCTTTGTCACTGCCCCCACGACACAGGCATTGGACAAGTATCTTCCAGCATCTGAATCTGTCTCGGCTCCCTTTTTTATCAGGGATTTCACTGCAGGCCTGGACAAATTGACACTTTGCTATTTTGAGGAACTCTCCACCAGCCATATCTAAAATTAACCTTCACAAAGATAAACTCACAGCGTGTCTTTTCTCACACCCTGAGGAAAATGGTGTGTCACCTCTTTTTAGTCTGTTCTTCTGTGGTGCTTGGCAGGTAAACGTCACCATCACCTTTAAAGATCATTCTGGCAAAAAACTAGAGGAAGGATGTTGCCACCTGAGCAACTCTCTTCAAAGGCCCAGATCTCCAGCAGGAGATCCCACAGTGTCCCAGGAGGAGCCCAAGGGCAGCCCCAAAGCCCTGGAGGTCCTGCAGGGATGTGAAGGATAAGGGAGAGAGAGGGAAAGTCTTTGCACACATTTACAGGGTAATAAACACCAAGGTCAACAGCTCAGGGAACAGCCCTTGGCTGGTGAAAGCTGCTGTGAGACTCTGATGGCACCACTCCCACCCAAAGTCATGGACTGCTTTAGGAAAACAGAGAGAAGAGTGAGAAGAAAAATCACTTTTTTCCCCTGATAAATCATCTTAATGAATTATCTCACTCTCTACAGCTACTTGGAGCCAGGTGGAGATCAGCTTCCTCTCCCAGGGAACAAGCAACAGGACAGGAGGGAACGGCCTCAAGCTGTGCCAGGGAAGGTTCAGGTTCGATACTGAGAAAACATCTTCACTGAAAGAGTGTCTAGCCCTGGCACAGCTGCCCAGGGCAGTGGGGGAGTGACCATCCCTGGAGGTGTTCCAAAAGCACGTGGATATGGTTTAGTTGTGAACACCCTGGTGCCAGGTTTGCAGTTGGACTCAATCTTAGAGGGCTTTCCCAACCTTAGTGATTTTGTGATTCCCTGATCTCGGTTTCAGCCAAACTACCCCAGTTGCTCATTCCTGAGCAGGACCCCGTGAACAATAATAAGGGAAGAACCAAGAGTCCCAAACCAGAACATGGAAACCACCAGCATTCCTGTGGTGCCACCCAAACCCAAGCACTCTCACGGAGCAACAGGGACTTACTTGGTCGGCCGATAATCCGGGATGGAACGATCCAGAGAGATTTTCTCACTGAGGTAGGAGTTGTAGCCATATTTCTCATGGGGTCCCTTTGCCTTCTCCTCCTCCTCAGGGGACAGGGTGGCTGGCAAGCCACCCTTCCCACGCCCCCCATAGCCTTCAATGAGACCGAGTGACTTGGACAGACCTCGAGAGAAAACAAAGACCACCAGCACTGTTAAAATCCATCTCCGTTCTTTCCAGCCATCAAAGACATTCAAATACTCCAAAAATCCAAGGTTGGGTTGTTGAAAACATTCCAAATGCTAGTTCTCTGACCCAGTGCTGGAACAAAACTGCCTCAAGTCTTGAAAGTCCTCCTGGCTCAGGCACGCTGTTCCTGATAGCTCCACCACTGGCATCCGAGTGATAACCTGTCCCAGGGATCTCTGTATTTATTTAGTTGTTAGGGAGGTTATTTAGGCCTCCTTCCCACTCTCAGAGAGGTAATTACACAGAAGGTTAGGTGTCCCCAGGAGAAGGAGAGGTTGAACACAGAGTAAGAATAAAACAGGGTTGGTTAACTGCCAAGTGAATGAGTTTTTCCTCGGTGTGAGCAGGGAACAGCATACAAATGTTATGGATTTAAAAACAATTTCCCCCTCAAAGCTTTCTTATCTTTTAAAGTACAGCATTCCCAGACCTTTATCAAGGGGAATTATTTATTTATATGTGCAGAGCTGAGGGAAATAGGCAAAGTTCAAACATAAAGAGCTCTGTGCATGATTTGGTGCTGACTGTGGGTAGCCAAGTTCAAGCTCATGTTATTATTTATTAGATAGGATACCTGGAATTTTAATATTTTTCATTTGCAGAGACTCTCTCTTTTTGTCAGAAACCTAAAAATAACGTTGGATTTGTTTGGTTTGCCTTTTTGTTTGGGTTTTTTTTTAATTAAAGACACCAGGGTAAATTCTCCTTTGTTTCAATGGCAGAGCAGGACAGATTTTGTCACCTCTGTTGCTTTTGAAGGGACAATAACCTTGAGGTTGTGCACAGGGTTTCAGGATGAGCTTGGTCCAGCTCCCAAACCTCCCATGGACCTCCTCTGCCCTGGAGAAAACACTCCTGCCTCCCCACAAGACACAGATTTAAACACATTTTTCCTGCAGAAGTAGCATAGAGAGGCAGAAAGAAAATCACCTGGGAATGTAAATCACAGTTGGAAGCACAGGTTGAATTATCATTGGTAGTAGTATTAGTATTGCTATTCCTGTTATTGCTGTTATTCCTATTATTCCTATTATTCCTTCTGACAAGGAACCTCTGCACAACCTTCCCTGCTCCATCAGACTGCTGGAGTCCCTCTGACCACATTTGATTAGATTTTATCCCAGGATAATCACAACAAATCAACTGCCAGGAGCCACAGGCTGTGACACAGGGATGGATGACACATCCCAGCTGCCTTTTTCCATCTCGAGGCTCAGAAGAGCCAGAGGAGCCAGTCAAGAAGATGGGAAAGGGGAGTCTTTGTGGCCTGCAGAAGGTCAGGAGATCACTCTGTGAACTTCCCAACCCCACCCAGGGGACACAGCCGGGTTATGGAGGGAAGAGACACCAATTTCATTTCACACACAGACCACAGCAGAGTAAAACAGTATTTTTTAAAAAATATATTGTCACACAGACAATTCTTCTCAAAATGTCTGCTTCTTCCTCAAAATCTGATCTTTCTGCCCAAACACATTTCCTCAGAGTACCCCAGGTCTTGCCCAGTTCATCAGCTGAGGGGTTTACCACTCTAACAGACACACTCTAACAAAAACTCAGATTATCTTTTCAATTCCTTCTTCTTCACGTACCCCATGAAACAGTTCCACCAAAATCCATAACAAATTTTTCCTGTCTCTCCAAGGACTGGAAGACTGAGCTGTGAAGCCCTTCCACAGCTCACTTCCACTACAGGAACCCTCAGCATCCACCAGTTTGCTTTTAAAGCTTAATTTTGCTTTTCTTGATCCATTTTAACACATTTCTCACTCCCCCAGTGCTCTTGCTCTTGGTGCTTTGAATCTGGAAGAGGGGCTGAAGGGCAGTGGGGACTTTCTGAGGTGGGTAAGGCCTGGCAGAGGCTCTGTGGGTGAAGGACCTCAGTGCTGGGCAGTGGCACCTGGGGTTCCCCCTCAGTGGGATATCAGAACCCAAACATCACAGCACCTGGCTCTGTTTAAAGTAGGTTTTAAAAACACAATCTGGGTTATTATCAAGAGATTAAAATCTGAGCTTAACTCAGACACTGAAGGCAGAGCTTCTCCCAGAGCTCCACACTTGCAGTCAGCAGGGACAGACTCATCCCTTCCAGGCTGATCCATCCACCACAAGCTCTGTCAGCCTCCCTTTCAGTCTCTTATCTCTGTCCAGACCAAGGGAATTGAGCTCCCAGCTCCAGCACCTCAGGGAAGTACCTGGAATTCCAGGTGAGGGATCCCCGCTCAGTGTTCCAAATCCCAACAACCTCTGAGGCCACACCAGCCTTTCCACAGTGGTGCAGCTGAGCTGGTCTTTGCAGCAGCAGGAGAGGCCTGGAGCAAGGATATCTTTGCCAAGGAATTCTGCAGGCTGGGTGTTCCCTCCAGCCAAACCTTCAATCCACCAGTGACACCGACTGGGAGAGGGGGGTGGGAGCTGCTGGACAGCACCAGGACACCTTTACTTGGCCTTCTGTGGTTCTGTTACACAACAAAGATACCCCAGGGAATGTTGCACTCTCTGTCTCTCCCAAGGTGCAGTCAGGGCATGGGCAGAGCCCAAAGAGACCCCTCTGTGCTCCTCCCATGCTTGGGAGGAGGCTCTGCTGTGACACTGCAGAATGAGGGACCTGGTGAAATGAAGCCTCTCTTGAGGAACCAGAGAGAGGCCAAGACATGATTTATATCCAACAGCTCTGACTGACAAACCTATAATGCCATTAACTGCTTTATTCCATGACCACAGTCAGGACAACTGGACACACACACATCCCAGCACACGCTTCTCTCTCCTCACTGAGTACATTCCCTTATTTCTACATGTTCTGTCCTACTGCTCTACACTCTGTCTCAGGAAGTGCAGATAAATCCAAGTCATTTAACCAAGGGAGTCAATCAAGGTGATCCATCTGTATGTGTTGGGCAGGGCACTGCTGTGATCCATCCCTGCCTTCCAGGAGAGCAGCCAGGATATCCCACACCCCCACAGGGAGAGTCATGGAGATGAATACTCCCAGGTGTGACGTGACAGGGAGGATCTCCCTGTCTGTCTCTGTGCTGGTTGAACATTTCCTCCCTCAGCCTGGGCTGTCAGGAGGGCTCAGCCCCGAGCAGGGATGTCACCTTGGTGTGCAAGAGTCGAGGAACATTTGGCAAGAAAGGTAATTCCTGTCCAAACAGAAGAGGAAGAAATTCATTTCCAGCTGGCTGGAAAGGTGCCTCAGGAGAGGCAGGACTGGAAACAAATGGTTCCAGTAGATCCTTGTCCAGTCAATCCTTTCATTGGTTTTTATTCACCATATTTTGGGCCGCACGAAGGGCACCTTTCTGTGAGCTTGAGGTGCTTTTGCTGTAACTTCAGAAGTTCTCCTCAGCCCAGCCCATGTGGCTGCTTCAGCCAGGCAGGAACCAGTGAAAGCTCCTTCTCACAGGGAGCTCCCAGGGCTTTACATCAACCCACATTTCATGTCAGAATCCCAGAATATTCCCAGCTGGAGGGGACCCGCAAGGATGATCGAGTCCAGCTCTTCCATGACTGGCCCATACAGGGATCAGACCCATAACCCTGGTGTCATCAGCACCATGCTCTGACCAACTGAGCTAATTTGGGGAGCACAGCGACAACCACACACTTCCCAGGCCTAAGTGAGGGCTCACTGAGGGCTCACTAAGGGCTCCCCTGATCTCCAAAGGACCTTTTCCTGTCCCTGCTGACACCCCTGTCCCTGCAGCAGGACCCCAGGGTGTCAGGAGCAGGGAGCTACAGCCTGCAGGCTTTGGGAGGTGGCACAGAGACCTTCTGCCATTTCCTGCCTGCCCTTTGCAGCCTGCATGGAAACATCACAGGACAAGGGAGCTCTCACTGTGTCCCAACAGCAAAATGCTGCCAATGAAGGAGTTGGTGTCTCTGGAGCCACAGGAGCAGGAGGGGAACAAACCTCTGAAGGCAGCTGATCCCCACACAACTATCCAGGGCTGGTTTCCAGCACAGCCTTCTGCTGTGGCCTCCTACCAACATGTGCTTCCCTTGGAAAACGTCCAGCCCTTTGCCAAACCTCCTCTTGAGGGGCACAGGAGGGCCAGCTCCAACCTGTGTGAGCAGGGACAGCAGCCAGGGAATGGCTGGAGCTGTGTCAGGGCAGGCTCAGGTTGGATCTCAGCCAAAAGTTCTTCCCCCAGAGGCTGGTTGGGCACTGCCCAGGCTCCCCAGGGCAGTGGGCACAGCCCCAAGGCTGCCAGAGCTCAGGGAGGGTTTGGCTGATCCTCTGGGGCACAGGGGGTGACTCTTGGGGCTGGGCCTGTGCAGGGCTGAGGGTTGGATCCATGATCCTTGGGGGTCCCTCCCAGCTCAAGAGATTCTCTGATCCTGTGATTCTATAAAACTTTTTCTAAATCAGCCTGGAGGGACCAGAAGTCACACACAGAGACACAAGGAGCAAGAAAGAGCAAGAGCATGATCCTGTCAGCTTGTTTCCTCCAGGAACAGGGCTAATAAGCAGTGAGTCAAAACTGCTCCCAATTCACAGAGCAAACCCTTCATCATTCTGTGCAGGCACCAAAGCAGAAGTGCTGAACCACTGCAAGAAAGTCTCTCCTGATGTCTGCTCCAGCCCATCTCCAGCGATAAACAGCAATAATCCCCCTCAAAAAGGCTTGATCTTGGGAGACAATTCACCCCCTGGGGAATTCTGCCAGCTCTTGAGGTGCATCACCATGAGATGTTCAGGGCAGATCAGAGCTCTGAGCAGCCTCAAGCTTCACTCCTCCCAAAACCACTTTCACCCAAGTTCCTTAGAAACAAAACCAGGGTGGTTTTTTCCAGAATCTCCTAAAAATTCTGAACTTGGCAACAAAAGGAATATATTGCTCTTATACTGCAGGAATAGAAGGATAAAACCCACACCACTTAGAGCTGCCAAGATCTGAGTCCCTTCTCCTGAAATGGCCAGACATGGCA